CGGCCGGAGCGCGGCCAGCGCTCCCAGGGTGAGGCTCACGCCCAGCAGCAGCCCGAGGCCCGCCGCCACCAGGAAGCCGCCCACCGGCTGGGCGCACACAGGCGCCGCCGCGGCGTGCAGCCGCTCGGGCCCGCAGCGGTCCAGTTGCGCCCGCAGGATGGTCAGGAGCCCCTCGTCCACGGGACTGGACTCGAAATGGCACGAGCAGTGGGTGCCTGTGGTGGAGGCGCCGAGGTACGCGCCGACGAAAGCGGAACCCACCCCGCCGAGCTGCTCTGCAAGCCAGTGCATGCGAGCTTGGACCAGAGCGACTATGGAGACGCCCAAAGGTCCCCCTCGGACCTTTGGCCTGAGACCGCCTGGCCGCCACGGAACAAAACAGTCAAAGACAAATATACATATGCATAGTGTACGATAACATGAAATACAATAACATGGCATCACATGGCCTTCCATAACATAACATCACAACTCACAACACAACATTACATATCATAGCAAAATAACATGTCATATCATGATGTAATATGATATGCATACATAGACATATAAGTATGAACATATACATGTATATACATATAGACATATGTACACAATAAAAAAAAGATACGGCTCAAGAAGACCCCGAGAAGGCCTCAAGACGGCCCCAAGTGGCCCCAAGACGGCTGCAGAGGCCCCCAGGACGACCCCAAGGCTCAACAGGTCCTTTGTGTGGCCTGTTGTGTTTTGGATACTTGAGTTTTTGTGTGGCCACGCGCGCGGCCAGGCCAGATGTATTTTGCTGTGGCCCGCGCTAGTCCCTCCATTGAAAGAAATATGAAAAGACCTCCGGCGTTCGCTCTAGAACTCTTGCCGACCAGGAAAACGTGCCCTCGCAAAGAACCATCAGGTGGCGTGTTGGAAACAAGCACGTAGCGGTACAAAGGTTGTTGCTTTGATCGTCGCAGTAATAACGATAGCAGCATCAGTACTCGTCGTCGTAGTAATGGACTGATGATGAGTAGGAGCGACAGGTCTTGGATGCATTAGCATTAGCAGCAACACTCGCGGCAACAGCAGCAGCAGTACATCTTTAACCAGTAGCAAGGACAGAAGTAATAGCAATAATCGTAAAAGCAGCTGTCGCAGTAGTGTTATAGTAACAATAATAAGAATAGTAGTAGTGGTAATAGTAGTAATAGAAGTAGTAGAAGTAGTAGAAGTAGTAGTAGCAGCAATAATGAAAGTAGTAGTAGCAGGCGGACTAACAAGAGAATTGCTGTTGCAGCAAAAATAGCAATAGAAGTAGTAGTAGAAGTAGAACTAGAAGTAGCATGAATGGTAATGAGAGTGGTAGAAGTAGCAGTAGTAGTAGTAGTAGTAGCAGCAGTAGTAGTAGTAATAGTCGTATTAATAAGAATAGCATTAATAATGGTAGCAATACTAGTAGTAGTAGCAGTAGTAGTAGTCATCGTGATATTCGTATTCGTAAAATTAGTAATAGTAATAGTAGCAGCAGCAGCAGCAGTAACAGAGTCGTCGTACTGGAATAAGTCGTCGTAGTAGTAATACCAGTCGTGGTCGGTGTCGTTGTCATAGTGATCATAGCCATAGTAAGAGTTAATGCAACAGTGGAAGCAGCAGTAGTAGCAGTAATAATAAGCAGCAGCAGTAGTACGTACTATATCGTAGTACTAGAGCTAGTTTAAAAAGGAACCGCAGTGATAGGAGTCGTCGTCGCAATAATAGCAGTAGTAATGCTACGAGCACCCGCATCAGTACTAGTAGTAGCAGCCGTCGTACTAGAGATGATACATACTAGCAGGCGGTTCTGGTGGGGTCGTACTAGTGGCCGTAGTAGAAGTAGCGGCGGTAGCACCAGCAATAGCAGTCGCACAAACAACAGCACTAGTAGTAATGGTCATGGGCCAGTGTCAACGTCGAAGTAGCAGCATGAAGAATAAAAGCAATGATGATGGTAATTGAAGAAAGGGTGGCTCAGTCGACTCCCTCTTTCTCCCCGTTGCCGAAAGCCAGAAGATTGCGAGGAAGTCCAAAGCAAAACACCCGGATGGTCCGACCGGCACGACCCGCCCAAAGCACCCTAATGACAACGACGACGACGACGAAAGACGCCCTCCCTACTCAACCTCCGCATCCCCCTTTGTCCTTTTTCCCTCGCTCACTCTTTATGAATCCGCCTCTTCCTTCCACGCCCCTTCTCCGTCCGACGGCGAAGACAAAGAACACATGACGAAAGACGACAAATGACGACGACGACGACAACGACGACGACGAAAGACTGAATACGACGATGACGAACGAAGAACAACGACGACGATCGACCATCGACGATCCTCCTCCCCCTGTCTTCTGTCAACGCTCATCTCCTCCCGCCCTCTCCTCCTCGTCCTCCTCGCTCTCCTGCACCCCGTTCTACTTGCTCTTCCCTCCTCATCCTCCTCCACCGCGAGAGGGAGGGGGAAGAGTGCCGATGGTTGCGGAGAGCAGGAGACTGGAGGAGCACAACGGAGTTTGGAGGAGCGGGGAGGAGTGAGGAGGCTGGTGGAGGGCTGGGAAGGAGGAAGAGGAGGAAGAGGATTCGAGATGGCGCAAGACTGTTCATGAGAACATTCAAACGTACAAGCTAAGCCAGGGACCTCCAAGACTGCCCCACAGGAGCCTCAGACAGCCCCACGACGGCCCAGAGTTGCTCCACGAGAGCTACGCCAGAAGTGAAGACGAAAGGTTTCACATGTGACGCCCCAAGAAATCCTTCAGAGACCCCAAAAAGGCTGTCATGAGGCCCCAAGAGATTCCTCAGAAGCCCCAAGAAACTCGTCAGGGACTGCCAGTAGCCAGGCCTAGGCCGCAAAAAAAGAAGATCTGGCCGCATAAGAAACTTCTCTACCTCAAGACGGCCCAAGAGACTTCCAAGATTGCCCGAGCGCGCCCCAGTTGGGGCTAGAGAGCCCCCCAAGACGGCCACCGACAGCGTCAGACGGGCCAAGAGAGGCCTGCAACGGCCGAAGAGGCGCCCCTGGAGGCCCTCAAGAGGCTCCACGGAGTCCCCCTTAGAGACCCCCAAGGAGCCTTCACAAAGCTCCCAGGAGGCCCCAAGAGAGCACCAAGAGAGCCCCAAAGAGGCCACAAGAGGCCCTCAAGTGACCTCATTATCATCCTTATTATCATCCATGTCCTGTTCCTCCTCCTCCTCATCATCATCATCCTCCTGCTTCTCCTCCTCCTCCTCCTCCTCCTCCTGCTCCTCCTCCTCCTCCTCCTCCTCCTCCTCCTCCTCTTGCTCCTCCTGCTCCTCCTGCTCCTCCTGCTCCTCATGCTTCTCCTGCGCCTCCTGACCCTCCTGCTCCTCCTGCTCCTCCTACTCCTCCTGTCCCTCCTCCTGCCCCTCCTGCCCCTCCTGCCCCTCCTCTTCCTCCTCCTTCTCCTCCTCCTCCTCCTCCTCCTCCTCCTTTTCCTTCTTTCCTCAAGTGTTTCCCCTGGGGGTTCCACAACGGCTGGGTGAGCACAAAATCTTATGGTTTGGCCAAATGCTGGCCAAGAACAAGTATGTTGAGTAGCCCTTCCAAAAAGGCCAGGCGGTCGTCGGTCCGATCGATCCGCCGACCACCTCGAACCCACGCGTCACCGCCGGAAAGCCACAGAGCCCAAGAAGGTCGCGGAAAAAAACGCCAAGATGGCTTCACGTGGCCCAAGACGGACCCTGATGTCCTCCAAGACCACTCCTATAAGACCCAGATGACCCCGAGACGGCCCCAAGAGGGTCCAAGAGGCGTTTGGGGCCCTCGGGGTCGCCCGGGGCCCTCGGGGTCGGCCCAAGCAGCCACAATCGCTCAAAGCATGCGTGTGTTCGATTATTGTTGCAATATTTCCTGTCTTGAGAGCGTCCACGACTGCCCAAGGGGCCCCCAAGACCAGCCCAAGACGGCCCGAGTAAGCCCCAAGAGGACCCCAACACTGCCCAAAGACGGCCCAACGGGGCCGCAAGACTGCTCCAGAGAGCCCCGATACAGCACAGAGAGACCCCCAAGACGGCCTCCGAGGTTGCTAAACACCCAAGAGCGCCCCAAGATGTCCCAAGAAGGGCTTACGGGGCGCCAAGAAGCCCCGAATGCCCGAAATGAATCCGAAAGATAGCCTCAGAGGGCCCCATCCGAAGTGTTGCTCCAGTGGTCTCCCTGGCAGCTGGGAGAACACGCAATCCACGATGATCGCGGCACTCTCGCTCGACATGTCGAGGCACGGGCGCTTCCAAACGGCAGAATGGGCGGTGGTAAATCACAGTAGGCTTCTTTGGCAGTGCTCGTGCCCACTGCAACATCAAAAAGGCAACCCTTGTGAGAACGGCAACAACGGCGAAACGAAGGTCACGACCACCAGGGATGCAGAGAGCAACGGCAAGAATGGTAGCGGTCACAGCTGTCGAAATGCAGTGCCAGCAACGTTGGCCACAGTCGGAACAAACACCATACTGAATGCAACGCTGAAGAGTAGACGAGGGCAAATACAGGAGGGCGACAGCACCAAACCCTCAGATTACCCCGACCACAACCAGGACTGCGTCCACCAACATGATGATGCTGCTTATCTCAACGACAATTATAGCAAGCCGTGGAGACCTTAACAGCGCATTCAACAAGGTCGATTCCTACACTGACAATCGCGAGTGTAACTGCATTGGCGACAACTAAGGCAACCACACTACCATAACGGGGGGAAGGACTGCAGCAACGGACGAGGCGAGAAGATCCAGCGCCCTTAAAACGCATGGGGGTCTTTCGAGAAAGTGAATCAAGCGGTCAAGCCATTCGTCGAAAGTCCAAGGCCCTGCAGAGGTACACGAAGCCAAGATCATGTCGAGGTGGAGAGCCGCGCACGATCACAGTAAGGGAACCCTTTACGGGGCAAGGGCTATCATCAACCCTCGTGCTGGCTGCACGATACTGCACAACACAAGAGGAAGCCTACGGGCGACGGGGAGAAAGAAGCACGGGCGGCTCCGCGGGTGCGTCTCGCCCTGCCAGGGCAAGGCTGACGCTCTTGCTGAAGAGCTGGAGCTCGCTCTGGCCAAAGAAGCGACCCAGCAGGGCGCTCATCCTGGTGTAATTCACGCTCTTCACCTTGGCTACGGGAGGAATTATGGAAAGGGGTACCGTACTCCGAGGTGTTCAATCAGCGAGGGGGGGGGTCGCGTGGAGGGTATGTAGGGATAGGCTGTAATTCCCGGGGCGTGGGGAGAGATCGCATCAGGAACGGGTTCGGAGCGCGTGGAGAGCCTGGAACGGGCCGTCGGGCGGGTGCATGGGGGGGAGGTTATTGAAAAACTTGGCGTATGGCTTCACTCCACGAGATGATCACATCGGTCTCCCTCCAGCTCGTCTTCTTCTTCCCCGCCCTCCCGTGCTCCCCTTGTTCAGACTGGTCCTCCTCCTCCTCCTCTTCATCCACCTGGGGTCATCTATGCCTCCTCGTTCGCTCGACCAGGCAGAGGAGGTCTGAGTACAGAGTAAGCCGAAAACCTGCAATACACGATTTCACTGCACGTGGGTACTTGTTGCAAGGCGCCGCGCACGCAGCGCCCCAGTCGCCCTCCCAGCAGCGCCCCCACCAGAAGCCCCCCGGAAACATGTCATGTTCATTGTCTCCACACAAAACGACAAGTTTAAAATTTGTCAACCTCGTACGCCGACCTCAGCATTGGGACTGCTCCGCTCGGCTCCTGTAATGAATTGAACAATATGTCTGCTAGACATTCGGAGGGGAGAAGACACTTGGGTCGCGCTTTGCGAATCGGAGCATATTCCGAAACACGACAACCGATCAACCTACTAAGTGAGTAATTAACAACCTTGCACTAATATTTCATTCGACCTGTCAAGCGCCTTGAGATCAGACGCATGCCTAGATACTGAAATGGTTCACTGTAACCCTGATGGGAAACACAAATTCAATCAACTCGTCGATATGCTTGTTGTTCAGGGGGGGCGCGCAATAGCGTCCGGGTCGCGGCGTGCAAATCTAAAAATCAACCCAAACACTAGAATGTCTTACTTTACTGTGCTGGGGCGCGCTCCTGAAGTGAGTGCTTCCAAAAGAGTACAATTGCGCCCGGGTCGTCTTCTGCGAGTCCGAACGCCTGTCGGAACACCACAACCGCTCATTTGATTTTGCGATTGGGCACCTCAAACACATTGCTCACCGTCTCGGTGGGGGGCAAGTGTGATGCTGCGTATGGGCTCATTCCTCGGTTACACCCAGGACTAAACCCAATAAGTTGCTCTCGCGAGTGATGCACAAATCCCATAGTGATGCTTCACATGAGCATGAAGATGACACCATCCCCCGCTCCGTTTGCAGAGCGTGGCATCTGTCAAAGCCCCTGCCCTGGATGCGCTATTGGGGTTTCAAAACTCCAAAATTCCCTAAGAAAGTCCCAGGACCCGTCGTGGAGCCCTCGTGGGCGCCTCTTGGGCCGTCTTGGAGGCCCTTAGAGCCAGACCAACAGGGCAACATCACTAAAAGTCTTTAAAGTTTTTGAATGACACAAATATCATCGGCTGGGGCTCCCTAGACAACACAAGAGGCCCCCAAAACGGCCTCAAGAGGGGACCCAAAAAGCGCGCCAATGCCGGGCCGCTGGAAGCCACTCCTCCAAGAGTGCCCCATAAGGTCCCCAAGAGACCCCCAACAGGTTGGGGACCTCGAGAGGACCCCACGAGGCCCCAAGAGACCTCCAAGAGGCCCTCACGACGACCCATCAGAGGCTCCTAAGAGGCCCCCAAGAGGCCTCTTAGAGGCGTCTTGTCCACGACCCAGGCACGGTGGCGGAACGGGTCGAGGGCCACTAGATATAGAAAATGGTTTCTGCTCTCCCGACTCTGAAAACACTTTGTTCCGCACTGAATCATATCTGCGCTTTGCGCTCTGCTCCCTACTCGTTCTGCTTTCTCCTTCCTACACGTCTGCTCCCATCCACGCACTCCCTACTCTAAGAAACCTGGGGGCACGGCCAGGACTGGAGACATGGTAAACAGGAACTTGGAACCCTGAATCTAGGAATCCAGAAAACCGAGCCCCTAACGAAATCGGCCGCGACCTTTCACCAAATCCTAGAAACGGGAACCAAGAAACAATCGGCGGCACACTTTACCAAGTCCTGAGGCCGAGAACCTGGGAACCTAGGAGCCCGGCAGCCACCGAAATCGGCGGCACGCTTTCGCCAAAATCCTTTCAACCTCTGCGAGGACCCTTTCTGTGGAAGCACCGGTTTGGCAATCGTTTGACATGCTCGGCGTTCGGGGGAGAGGCAATTGCGACAAGGTCTTGCCTTGCGAACGCCCGTCAGGGCATGGCTGTCGCTGGCGTTGCTCCGTGTTCGGGCATGCTTCTGCAAAAATTGGTTTGATGTGCTGGAGGACAAGGAGGGAACGAAAAAGGAGGAGGAGGTGAAGACCGGGGGGAGAGGGGGGGGGAAGGAAGATGAGGTCAACGCGCCCGTTGACGTCCCAGCGCAATCACGCTGCTCACAGCGGCTGCTAGCGCACCCAGCGGCGGGAGAGGAGGGAAGAGGGCTCACGGGGCCCAGAATATACACCACTTGCACGCACCTCCTCATCCCCTTCACATTCTATATTTCCTGGGAGTGGGAGGTGGGATGAAGACACTGCAGTCACAAAAGTCGTGCTGTGAGAATGCGAAGGCCGGCCCTCCAGCCCAGACCACGAAGCACCAAACGCGACTATCTTCGCACCCCTGCAGGTGACCCGGCTTCCGAATATGAAACGCTCCGTCTTTCGACACCGCAGCTGCGGTGGTGTACACCGTTGGGCCCCAGAGGGTAGAGCTACGAGCAGGCCCCATGAGGTTGCTCTCCACCCCGTCTCCGGGCCGAACTTGCCTGCCGAGGACTCCGCCGTGCTTCCGCGCACGGCGCGATCCCAGGATCAAGCAACTCCTCGCAGCTCCCATCGCCCAGGGAGCCCCTCAAGGTCATCGCCACCGCTAACGGAACCTTCAGCTTGAAATCTGGGCTGTGCTCCCTGAATGGATTCTCCATGATCTCCCGCACCACCTCGGCCGCATCCCTCGCACGGTTTGCGGGACCCTCGAGCACGAACTCGTCGTGCACCTGGATGACGAGGCGGAAGCCCCACTCGGCCAGGCGGGGGTCACGCCACAGCCGCAGCATGGCCGCCACCACGATGTCTGCGGCCGAGCCCTGGATTCCGAAGTTCACGGCCGCGCGCTCGGAACGATAGCGGTGCTGCGGCAGAGAATCCTCGCCGATGAGGGGCAGCGTGCGCGGGCGCCCCAGCATCGACAGACTGCGGCGGCTGTTCCTGCTGTCTCTCCTTATATGCTCCATCCACTTCTTGACCGCCGGCTTGTACCGCAGCCAGGCGTCGATAAGCCCCTGAGCCGTGTCGGCACCCACGTTCAGGTCTTCCGCCAGCGAAGAGGCGGTCATGCCGTAGATGATGCCAAAAGTCACGGCCTTGGCCTGGGATCTCTCCTGTTTGAACACGTCCTTGACAGTCCTGCCCGAGACTCCGCCGTCGTCGTTCACCTTGACATCCCCAGCCTCGACAGCCTTCCTCACGTGCGGGAAAATCTGCGCCGCGACATCTGAGTGGTAGTCGCCCCCCTTCTTAATCTGATCGATCATGAACGGGCAGTTGGCAACGTGGGCCAGCACACGGAGTTCCAGCTGCGCGTAGTCCGCCACGATGAAGAGACTCCCGGGCGACGGCACGAATGCGTCGCGAATTCCGTACCTGTCGTTGGCAGCCGACGGCAGATTCTGCAGGTTGGGCGCCCGGCACGCCAGGCGCCCAGTAGCAGTGTCGAACTGCCACGATGGGTGGATCCTCCCGGAAGCCTCACTATGCTGCAGCAGCGGCTGGATGAAGCCGGTTAGGATAGACTTCGTGCGTGTCGCCCTGCTTAGCTCGAGCAGCCCATGCGATGCCCGCTCGGCCTCCTTCTGGGTGTAGCCCCTGCTGATCAGCTGCGACTTGGCGGCGCCGTCCTTGGGAGGGGTCGCGTCTCTGCCAACAGGCACGTCGCCAGCGAGCTGCGCCACAATGCTCGCGGCCGTCTTGGGCCAGCCAGACTCGGAGTAGTCTTTGCGCTTTAGCCCGGGGGTCAGCTCGAGGCTGTTGATCTCGAAGCGGTGTGCTCCCAGCATCTCGGCACGGGCAGCCTTGGGTATGGGGAACTGTCTGGTGGCCTCTAGCTTCTCCTCTGGGTTCCGCTTGTTCTCGGCACCCCCGAATAGCAGCAGCCTCAACTGCGCCGAACTCCGGACATTGATCATGTCCGCCTCCGGATTCATCGTCTTGCCGTCTGGGCCACGGAGCGACCCCATGCAGTCGGCGAACTCCCGCGTGTGATCCTCGACATCCTTGGTGGCTCTCGCCTCCATCAGGAGCAGGGCATCGCGGTCCACCCTGACGCCCACCTCCTCGAGGTCGGCCAGGCATTCAGCAAAGTCGCGCATGTATCGCTCGAAGAGGCTCCACATGCTCTTGCCAGTGGCATACTGCAAAGACTCAAAGGTTCTGGGTCTGGACTTCGTCATAAGCAACTCCTTCTGGACCATAGGATCCTTCATGACCTCGAACACAGGACGCTGGTGAACCTGAGAGTGCCACGGAAGACCGCGGAGGTTTCCCCGCAGGTGCTCGAAGAGCCTGTGGGTGAGAACGGCGTCTTGTGTGGCATAGCCGACGAAGCCCGCGAAGCGCTCTGGCGAGTCGAGCGCCTCCTGTGCGGCGGTGGCGTGGTTGCCGAAGAGGCCCGCGAAGCCCTGAGGCCGCTGCGGCTCCCCGCTGGCGAGGCCGAAGTGTGCCGCGAGGCTCTTGAGCTGGTAACCCCTGGGGGGCGCCCTCTGGGGCGGCCGCCGCTCGGCACTGCCGCCGGCGCTGGCCGAGGTGTGCAGCCCGCTGACCCCCTCCCAGAGGCGGCGCTCGAGGGGCCTGCGCCCGAGCGTCACGCCCAGCACTGCCCGCGAGACCGGCTCGGCCGCGGCTGCGCCAGCCGCGCCCACGGCGCCCACGGCCATGGCGGCTGGCGACGCTGGCGCGGGCGACCGCTGATCAGCCCGGTCCCGCACGCTGCCCTCCCAGGAGGCCAAGGAGGTGTCGAAGAGGCGAGCCAGGTGGAGCGTGTCGGCGTGGAGGCCCCGCAGCCTGATGTTGTGCCGCCTGAGGACGTGCCGCTCGAAGGAGTAATTGTGGAAGACCTTCTGGAAGCCCGGGTCCTCAAAGTACTCCCGGAAGCAGTCCAGCAGTCCCTCCGACGGCCCCGAGTTGTCTATGAAGAGGCGCGGGCCGGAGCCGAAGTCCGCGTCGTCCCCGCAGTAGCAGGTCGCGCAGACCACGCGGCCGTGGTTCACAGGAGACTGCCGCTGCGACCCCGCTCCCAGCAGCACCCCCGCAGTCTCTGTGTCCCAAGCGTGCGGTCGCTCGCGCAGTCGCTCCAGTATCCCGAGAGCCCGCATGGCGCCGTCCCGATCAGTGACCAGTGTCACACCGTCCACGCGGGCGCTCCTGCGGAAGTCGCCAGCCGATGATGCAGTAGCGCGGCGCGCCGCGGGGCCAGACACTGCAGCGTGCGGATGCCGAGAATGACTGAAGAGACGGCCGAATCTGCCACATTGCCGACGACGAGCCGCGAAGGCCATGCAAATATGAGCGGGCCGCCCAGCTTCTCGACAGGCCTGCCCTTCAACGCTTGAAACAAAATGACTGTGGATGAGGAACAGGATGATGCGAGATCACCCTCATCCTCATCATCCTTCTCTTCATCTTGATCCCCTATCCTATATATCCCTCCTCCTGCTGGATCCTCATTGTCCTTATGGCCATCATCACCATCATCATCATCATCATCATCATCATCATCATCATCATCATCATCATCATCATCATCATCATCATCATCATCATCATCATCATCATCATCATCATCATCGTCATCATCATCATCATCATCATCATCATCATCATCATCATCATCATCATCATCATCATCATCATCATCATCATCATCATCATCATCATCATCATCATCATCATCATCATCATCATCATCATCATCGTCGTCATCGTCATCGTCATCGTCATCGTCATCATCATCATAATCATCATCACCCTCATCATCAACATCATCATCATCATAATCATAATCATCATCATCATCATCATCATCATCATCATCATCATCATCATCATCATCATCATCATCATCCCCTTCTCCCTCTCCCGCTTGAGATCGCCCGCTTCCGCACTGCCGAGAGCGAGGCGGGAGGAAGAAGAAGGGAAGAGGGAGGGGACCTCCTCCCCTTCCTCCTCCGCGCTGGAGACGTGTTGCACAAGCTTGAGGACCACATGGGCGATACCTCTCGGACCCCTGCGGGTGCAACCTAAACCAACCGCAGCCCACTTCCTCCCGACGACTGTTGGAGGGCCAGCCTCGCGCCTGAAAGAGACTTGAACACGCGACAGGCAAACGGCATGATCCCTCACACCTGGGGAACACAAATTTCCGACGAAATGATGTTTCAACCCGCTGGCCCTGGAGGCTTCGACCCCTCTCTGGAATCCTTTCTTCGTCCCCGGTTCAACTTCGACTGTCCCGGGGCACGAAAACAGCCCTCGGACGCAGAAGCATAACGAAATAAATACGGATTGAAAAAACAATCCGCCAGAAATCAGAAAGAGGGAAAAAGCGGTCTGGGTCCTCAGCTGGGCGCGGCTCGGAAAACTCGTCCAGACAGTGCCCATCGAGGGTCAAAGGACCCGGTTTGAGAGGATACAGTCTGGGGAAATCGATAGGAGCATGCGTAAAACACACAGTAGACCCCAGGAAAGGGGCAATCTATAGGAACAGAAGTAAGACACATACGTAGGATTCGAGCCCCAGGAAAAGGGCAATAGATAGGAGCATACGTAAAGCACATGCGATTCGAGCCCCAAGGGATAGACAATGTATAGGAAAGTACGTGAGCACAGCGATTCGAGCCACAGGAGAGGGTGAAAATATGGGAACACACGTAAAGCACATAGGATTCGAGCCCCAGGGAAAAATGAATGTTTGCCGAAGTCAAACCAAAACACATAGTGAGTCGCATGTCTGAGCCAAATCGAGCCAGAACACCATGGTGAGTCTCATGTCTGGATCTGCGAGACACCATAGCCAGTCTCATTCCTCGGCCAGCTCGAGCCAGAACACAGTAGGGAATCGATTCTGGACCGATTCAGGGCCGCCGCCTGGCCTGGGAGACGCCTCCCCCCGGCCACTCCTGTGGAAATTCTGGTGACAGAAATCTTTGACCTCGATTCGACTGTCTAGCGAAACGCTATCACTGAAAGACGCCCAGGAATGTCCCAAGACGGCGCCAAAAGTGGCCCCAGAGAGAGAACCCCCCCACGCGACCAGTTTCAGCCTTCGGCCCGAAGAGGCCCCCGAGAGGCCTCAAGAGTCTCCGAAGAGGCCCCCAGGAAGCTCAAGGAATCCCCAAAGAAGCTCCCACGAAGCTTCAAAACTGCCCCCCAGGTTCAGGCCAGCCCCCAAAGGCCCCCGAGAGCCCTCCGAAGAGATCCCAATAAGCATCCATACGAACGAACATGTCGAGCCTTCGGTCCCAAGAGGCCTCCAAGAGGCCTCAAGAGGCCCCCGAGAGGCTCCCAAGAAGCCCCAGGAGGCCCCACAGAGCTCCCCATAGGCCTCCGAGATGGCCTCCAAGATCCCCCAAGATGGCCCACGATAGGTCAAGATAGCTTCCACCATGCTTCCAACAGATTGCAAGGCCGCCCCACGACCGCTCCAGGTGCCCCCCCCAGCCCCCCGAATGGAGGCCCCGCAAGAGGCCACCACCCTCCCAAAAATTAACGAAAATTACTCATATGTGTTGCCAGCCTCAGAGAGCCAAGATGACCTCCACGATCGCTCCAGACGGCCCAAGATGGTTCAAGATAGCTTCCAACCTGTCATTGCACCTGCCTTGCAGACGTGCTGCAGCGGACTTTTGCGTGGATTTCTGCAAGGATTTTTCCCGAAACGGCGAGCGAAAAACGAAGTGAATTTCGCGTGGACTTGGGGGAGTCTTCATTCCTGGCCAAAGAAAGTCTGCACGAAATTCACCTCGAAATCCGGAACGAAATTATCCAGGACACTCCGGCCCCACTCCACCGTTTTCCAAACGAAATCCGCTCTGCGATGTTGGCGCCATGAAACCTACCTCGAACAGATTGCAAGACCGCCCTACGACAGTTCCAAGTGCCCTCCGAGCCTACCTGGGAGACCCCAAAGAGGCCACCATCCTGCCGAACTTTGGCTCAAGAACGTGCTGTAAGTCACCCGATACACTTTTTACAGTCCGATACTTTCTACACTCCGATACTCCCTCCTACACTCCGATACCCGACTGATGTCTTCTGCTATGCAGGCTGCTTCCGACAAGCGCGCGCCAGGTACACCCGTCCAGCACTTATTCAAGCAGCACCGGATCCACAGTCCATTACAAGAGATGGACGGGCTCGACGAGTCAGAGACTACTACTGCACTACAGCAGCGATATCAAGCTCAACTGGCTGGAGCCGGGGACAGCAGCAGTGGCAACAACATGATCACGGGGGGGTCGTTGACGATGAGTGCCTTCAGAGAGATTCTCAAGGAGCAGCTCGACCCCATACGCCAAGATATATATGCAATCAAAGCACATTGAGTTTCACAGGCAGATCTTGATGCTAAGATTGCTCCCATTTCCAGCGCCATCGGCGACATTACGACGCGGCTGGAGATTTTGGAATCTGGGGATGCTTCGCAAGCGCCTACTCCAGGACCTTCTGCGAGGACGGGGTCAGAAGCGAGCGTAGAGGCACAAGTACACACGGAAAGCTGCAAGCACTGGAACGTGAAATTCAACAGCTCAAACGCCAAGGAGACCGCCGTGCTCCTAACGACGCGAACGACAAACGCTCTTGTACAGCAGTTTTTGGGAATTTGGATGGGTTCACTATGGTCAACACGGCTTCTTCTTGGTTACGGGATCAGCTATCGCACTGTGGTGGCCCTCTACCCCACAACATGTACATGAAAGGGGACACCACCAACATACTGTTCGCGGAGTTCTCGGATACCACAGATCGTGACACAGCAGTGGCACTCATCAAGAGCTCACGTCTTCAACATAATGATAAATATATCTGGGCTTCGCCCACCCGCCGCCAGTGGAACGCGCGGCACGGAACTATTTCTTTGGACTCAAGTATCTGTTAAAGGACACTTTCAAGCTCTCCTACATCATCAAGATCACGGACGCCTCCCCGTACGAGGTCAGCGTGGGCGGAGAACACGCTCTTACGGTGTCGGTGGTCGGCAATAGCGTGAAGAAGGAATGGGCCGAAACATGGGCGAACTGGAAAGAGCTCTACGAACACGATGGCCTAAAGGAGCTTGAAGATAAGTGTAACGCACTGGTTGATTCCTCCATGAACGGTATGAAGGGTCAGCCGAAAGGAAAGTCAAAGGGCATTAGGAAATAAGGCACTTGCCAGATATCGTCCAGCCTGGCATGAGAGCCAACAGCGATGGACCACATCTTTTTCCGCATGCTGTTCCTGGCATTGGGCGTTCCCTGGGCAAAGATACCGTTACCCCCGTCTACGGAATCGCACGCATTTTCTGCAGCGAGCTGGGGCAAAGATACTGGGCCGCAGCACCACCCACAAACCTCATGTTTATATTCATCCTCTTTTTCATCTCCTCCGGCTCCTTGTACACCTACTTCTTCTCCCATCCGCACGGCTTCGTTGACACGATCTTCCATGGTGGTCGTCGAGCCGACCTTCGACGACAACATCTTGCCTGAGAGTTCGGATACGCAGCCCCAGGTGATGCAAACTTGTTGGGGCAGGCCCCGTCGTTCTTTCAAACCTTTGGCAACTCAGCGGGTTGCAACTCTCAGGGGCAATTCAGTGATCAAATTGATGGAGCTATTTCAAGCCATGCAGTCCAGAGAGATCGATATTTTATGTATCCAAGAGACGCAACTCCACGGTACCGAGTACACCATGAATGAGGGTTTCTTAGTTTGTCTGTCTGGGGAGCCAGTGGAGAACAATCGATCAGTAGCAGGAGTTGGTTTCATTGTGGCCCCATGGGCCCGGAACGCGATCGTTGCCTTCAAAGCACTCAGCCCTAGATTAGCTACGCTTCGGATCAAACTCGTGGGAGGTATGCTCACCCTCGTCTCCGCCTACGCTCCTCACAGCGGGTACGAGCTGAAAGACAGACAGGACTTCTACGACGACCTCCAGAAAACGATCAAGCCGACCACGCCCCACAGCACGACAGTGGCGATGGGGGATTACAATGCGAAGTTACTTCACCAAGGAGCGGGTGAAGCAGGATATATTGGGAAGCACGTCTTCCAAGCAAAGCACGGTAAACAGTCCATCAATAGCGTCACCAACCGGCATCTTTTATTAGAGTGTTGTGTCGCGCATGGTTTGGCGATTGCAAACACGTTCTTCGACGTCCTCGTAGAGGAGCGCATCACGTGCAGAGCATTGGATACATCACCGATGGACCTCGTTTCTCCAGAGGCTTTCTCACAAATTGATCACATGTTATGTCACCACCGGACTGCAGAACCATCCGGGAGGCCGCTTTGAACAGCCACCACTTCTTGACGATTGCCGAGATATCTTTATGCTTCGCCAAGGCACTGGTACAAAGCACATTGCAAAGTTTGACGTGTCTGCTTTATCACACCAGGCTACAAAGAAAGCCTTTACAGATACATTCAAAGAAAGATGGGCGACTCCAGGAGGATCGGTCTCGATCGACGGCGCCGCCCAGAGATTGGAGGCAGCCTTCGGGGAAGCTTCAAAGCAGCTGCCGTCACCCCCCGCCTTAGGCCGACGACGCTGGATATCTTCAGGGACGTTGGAATTGATCGAACAAAGAAACCCATATCGCCGAGCCGGGCATTACACAGCCGAGAAGAACTACAACAAAATGGTACGCCGAGCTGCGCAGAAGGACCGTGCGAATTGGTTAGATTCTACTTTGGTGGGTGGGGGCTGGGATGCAGTTAAGCAGTTGCGCAAACATGCTCCTCGCAAACACGCTGGTGTGAAAGATCTCGACGGGAACCTCACCGACACGGCAGCCAGGCCAGACGCTCTCGCGGACTATTTCGAAAAAGTGCAGTGGCGAGTGCAATTCGCCGAATTTGCACCAACAAGCACACATGCTTGGAAGCTTACTCCCAATCAATACGAATACATTCTCGCTGGACGAGCTGAGGGCAGAAATCCGGACGATGAAGAACAAGAAAGCCGCCGGCCCGACGACATCCCACCAGAATGTTGGAAGATTCTCGCAGACGATTCGGGAGCATGTGGGTCACTACTGCACGTGTGTCAGACGAGACCAAAGCTTTACCCGCATCTTGGAAGCGAGCCAACGTCATGTTATGGTTCAAGAAAGGCGACGCGCGTTTACCTAGCAACTACAGGCCGATCTCCCTCCTTGCCGTGGGATACAAGACGCTTGCGGCAATGATCCACCGGAGGCTTATCGACGGAGGCTGTGAAAGTAGAATGCGGGAGTCCCAGTTTGGCTTCTGGCCGAAACGCGGCACAGCGGACGCTTTGATGTTGGTGCGACGGATGGTGGACGCAGCGCACTTGAACAATAGTGGCGGGCTCATATTGTTATTGTTGGACTGGACCAAGGCTTTTGATCGTCTTAAACCAGGATGCATGTGCGCTGCGCTTGAGAGATTTGGGCTCCCTGGGCCAATTGTAAAAATTGTGCAGGGGATTTACGCGGAGAGGTACTTTACGATCGTGGACCACTGTGGGAGATCATCCGAGAGAACACAATCAGCTGGGATTGCCCAGGGATGCCCGCTGAGCCCCTACTTGTTTATCGCCGTTCAAACTGTTATGCTGCACGACGCGTTGGCCGGATTGGTTCTGCAAGAGGAGCCGGACTACGTCGTCTCCCGGGACATCTTGTATGCAGACGACACCCTGTTGGTTTCGCAGAACCCGAGCAATTTGCAGATATACTCGGGGCGATTGTGACAGAAGGGCAGAGATACGGCTTAGAATTGAACTGGGACAAAACGATTCAGATAAACATATCTTCTCTCGGGGAAGTCAGGAGACCCACAGGCGAACCCATCAAGACCGCGAGGGACGCCATCTACTTGGGGGGCTTGGTATCTTGCGACGGCAAGGCTGGAAACGAGCTGCCCCGAAGGTTGGGATAAAGTACAGACATTTTCAACAAATTGCAGAGGGTTTGGTCGCACACCTCAATCGGGAAGCGCCGGAAAGTCAAAAATCTATACCACTTGCGTGGTCAGCAAGCTGCTCCTTGGACTCCTTGTGGCTACTCAAAGCAAACAAAAACATATTAGATGCACTTCATTGCAGATGCGTGCGCAAGATTCCTGGTATTCCACATTCATACGTGTCCAGAGTAAGCAACGTGGAGGCTCTGAATAAAGCGCAGGAGACACCTCTGTCTGAACTTCTGCTTGACAGACAATGAAAGCTCTACGGCAAAATAGCTGCAAGTGGGGACCACTCGCTGGTGAGGAAAATCGTATGTCAAAACAACGGTGCACCTCAAAATTGGGCAGTTCGTCGTCGTCGCAGTCGGCCCCGGAAGCAATAGGTATCTGAAGCGTACAAGATGACGCAGTAGCTGTGATCAGCCATCCTGTTTTCTTTGCCAGTTGTTGTATCCCCTCCTCCTCCTCTCTCTCTCTCTCTCTCTCTCTTCCTCTTCCCATCGCTACAATTTTCGACGCACTTATGCTTTCATTATCTCACTCGGTTGCCTATGGCGCAGCTTCGAGTATGCCGACGCGTCCTTCAGGATGCATGGCCTTTGCTTGCTTGCTTTCTCACCGTTTCGCTTCCGATGGGCTCCCCAAGCTTCAAGATGGTGCGAAGATAGCCCCAGGGCGCCCAAAGCGCGGCCCGGCAGCGGAGATTTTGGGGGGAGCTGCAAGGAGCCTGCGGGAACTCCTGGGAGTCCTGGGAGCTTCCCGAAATCCTCTGCCGGCCCAAGAGAGCCCAAGATGGCATGCGGCATAGGCCTCTAAGATAGCCTCTAAGGTCGCTCAAGATGGCACACGACGGGTCCCAACAGCTTCCAACATGCTTCCAAAAGCTTGCAAGACCGCCCCACGGCCGCTCCAGGTGCCCCCCCGAACCTCCCTAGGGGGCCCCCGAGAGGCCACCGTCAAAGAGGTACAATTCACTGATGTTGGCTTGGTTTTTGCACGGTCTTGGCGTTCTCGCCTTTTCGGCCTCCCGACGCTCCAAGACGCCCAAGAGGCCCCAAAGATGGCCCAAAGACGGCCCAAGGGGCCCCCAAGAGGGCGCCGACACAGCCCAAGAGAGCCTCAAGACGGTACAGGAGGCCTCAACGACTGCCTAGAAAGAGACCCCCAGACCGCCTCAAGAGGGGGCCAGAAAGGAGAACCCGAAACGATATGTCGAGCCCTCGGACCCTACCAGAGGCCCCCAAGAGGCACCAAGGAGGCCCCAAAAAGGTCCCCAAGAGGCACCCCCAAATAGCCTTTATGAAGCCCCCAAGAAGCCGCTCAGAGACTCCCAAGAAGCCTCACAACTACCCCGAGAAGCCCCCGAGAGCCCTCCGAAGAGACCCCACGAAGCATCCCCGAGGAGTCTGACCCACAACCAAGGCATGGTGGCGGGATGGGCCGAAGGCCATTAGATAAAATGTTAAGCAAGTTCTGCTGGAAGGTGGGTTCGGCGCATGTCCGATCGAACTCCGATCGACAAACCAATAAATTGAAAGATTTGCGGGAACCTGGAGTCGGCACGTGCTCTCTTGAACTCCAACTGGAAAATGAAGAATTCCGCTGGAGGCTGGGATCGGCCCATGCAATATTGAATTCATGTTGGCAAACGCATAGAAAATCAAATAGTGTCACGGTCTGCTCGGATCGGCGCAATTCAAATTGGATCTAGTCAGGAAGACAAAGAAACTATCACACCTAGATAATACCGTGCAACAAGAAGCAATGAGACGATAACCAAAACAAGATATTACAGTCATTCTACATACAACAATAGCACAACTCAGTGAGCAACACAGACATGGAAAATACTATATCACAAACAAACAATTCAATTACCGCGTGAGAGACTGTGAAAAACCATGTCCACTTTAGACCGACCCCACGCCATATTGCGCAAACCATCCAAGTGTAACAGATCGGTTGTGCGACCTGCGCACACGACGCCTGCTCTCAGGTTCCACTTGACAACTGAAGTTGTCGTAGCCACACGATGAGTAAGTCACTAGAAGTTCTGGTGTTCAGATGAATATCCACTCTGCGGCCTGGAATATTCTACTGCTCGCTGATGGACACTCCCACAGCTCTCACATGAAAATCACGAAACGCAAAACTTGACGAAACTGTCGTGCGTAAACTGTCCAGTTCTCATACGCCAAATGCAAAGTTCTCAGAATATTGGCGACCACTGTTCTGTTTCAAAACAACGTAACTCCTAGATAACAAGAAGCATACTTGCACAACTTTCAACAGTGGCATGCGTGCTTTCTGCCAGAACGAATGTGTGTTATTAAGACGTGCAAGTTATTTCTGCATCACTTTAACATGCTCTACACATAGAACCATATTTGAGGTTCGAGATGGCCGGATGTAGTTGGTACCTACATGTTTTTTGTCCGATTGAGAAATGGCCCCGTTGATTGAAATTGGTATACCAATCGGTTGGGATTGGTCCGACATGCCCCTCGCGACTGCCCCTCCCAACCTTTTACCTCCCCCTCCCCTTCTTCCTTATTCATATGAACTATTATCCTCCTCCTCCTCCTCCGCCTCCGCCTCCGCCTCCTCCTCCGCCTCCTCCCCCTCCAGCTCAACCTCCTCCTCCTCTTCCTCCTCCTCCTCCTGCTCCGCCTCTTCCTCCTCC